CAATGCCAGTCAAGTCAGTGCTTCTATGTGCTGGTTCAGAGACTTGGCGCGTTTCGAAATGGATTTCCAACAAATGCAGACATTCACCAACAACTGCCTACGCAGGCTCGATACTGAAGACTAGATGGCCAGAAAAAATAAGCAACAGAGAACTCTGGGAACGAACCAACCAAGAAGCTATCGCTCAACAAATGTGCACTGGAAGGAAATGGAGATGGATTGGTCATGCGCTGAGAAGACCATTCGGGGGCATTACGGGCCAGGCCCTCGAGTGGAACCCAGATGGGAAGCGACGAGTTGGCCATCGTGGGTGACATGGAGGTGATCGCATGAGGAAGAAATGAGAGCTTGTGGGCTGTCGTGGAACCAGGTAAAAATGTTTGCAAAGAATAGAGTGCACTGTAGACGTGCTACTGAAGCTCTATTTTCCATTAGGAACCCAATGGACAAATATAATAATAATCGTGTGGGACTTGTTAGTCAGAGACATTACAAAATCTTTGCATTTAGTCGACACTACAGCAACGTTAGACGCTGATAACCTCTCAGGTCAGGTGGCTAGAACGTTGGGCAGAACACTTTTAAACCATGTACAACTGGCTCTTAGCATCGCGTTAGCTGCCCAACATCCAGCCTCAACTTGTATGGGTTGGAGATAACGGTCCTCCAACTCTCCTTGAATTTCAGAAAGCAGCATCAAACCTGAAACGACACAATGCAGTAGGATCTGACAGTTCGCCACCTGAAATTTTCAACGACGTGTAGGTACAATATTGTAGATTAGAGTGACAGAGTTACTTGGTGGCGTATGGGAATCGGGTGGAGTGTCGTCAGACTGGTCTACTTCACTGACCATCTCATTCCGTAAGAAAGGAGAGAAGTCTGGACACAACCACAAGAGAATCAGTTTGACCAACATCCTGTCCAAAATCCTGGGGTCCACAGTTATCTGACGCACAAGTGGAGCTCAAGAACAACAAACTCGAGAAAACCAGGCAGATTTAGTACCTGAACGAGGTTGCACGCTTGGCCACCGTGACATCATCAGCATTTACTTCACATACAATCAGAGCGTATTCAAGTTGGATGAATGTCTATAGAGGACCATGGACGACATTAAGCCTTATTGCATAGTAGATAGGAATTATCTTATTCCTTTTACCATCCCACATCAGCATTCTAACTACTGATTACATTCGACCTATGCTCTTGATCTCCCACATGATCATCAGTTCACATGATTGATTCCCAGTTCACTGATCTCCACTTAGTAGTGTGTTCAGCAGTTCAATGTGCATGTGCGACACTTGACTAGATTTGATTGGGGTTTCATGCCTTGAGCAACACGCTGGCAGTTATTCAGTTTGTTTGATGTGGTGATTCTATATTATCCTAATCAAAGTTGTGGTTCCCCTCATCCACATGTCTCGATATCAGTCATCGTTTATCACGTCGCTTACTGTCAGTTGATACTAAAGATTATTTGGCCTGTTTCACCACTGGATTGGCCAACAACAAGCCTTTATAACCGATTCCGCCGATTATATTCGTCTTGTCTCCCCTCCATAATGGACTGCTCAGCTTGCAAAATCTCTTCTTCAGTGATTTACCTGCATTCTGTACCATGATCATACAAAATGGATCAACCAGTCAGTTATCCTATTAAACACATAGTAGACTTTGGAAACACTCCTATTTATGACTATTTATGACTAAATATTTAGCGATGCTACTAGGTCCAATTAGAAACCGTTCTAAATCGAGACATACTAACTCTTATGACTTGAAACGTAGATTGGATGACATACATCTAGATGACGATGAAAAAATGGTTAGTTTTGATGTAGCTAGTTTGTATACTAACATACCGATTGGCATGGTTCTGGAAGCAATTAGAAACGAGCTCAATAATGACCATGAGCCTACACTACGAGCTAACGTACCAATAGATGATACCATGCTACGAGTACAGCTATGCCTAACTTCCACAATCTTTAAGTTTCAGAATAAAATATACAAACAAACAGAAGGAGTTGCCATGGCATCACCAATATCTCCTATTATGGCCGACATATTTATAGATAGTTGGGAACAGATGGCTGTAGGAACATTTAGTCCGGATCCAAAAATATAGTCCCCAGATGTAGACGACATGTTTACAGTGTTGAAATCGGGGAACGTGCATAGTTTCTTCACACATAAATTCAGTAATCAACGCAATCCAATGAACTAGAAAATGGTAAAGATGAAGTGGACATGTTGGATTGCATAATAAAACTGAAACAAGATGGGAGTTTAGACAACAGTGTCTACAAAAAGCCTTCATATTCAAATCGTTACTTGGACTTCAAATCCTCTCACCCTACGCCAGTCAGTTAAAGTTGGCCTGGTAAAGTGTCTAGATAACAGAGCCAAAAAGCTTACTAGTTAAACATAAGATTTAAGACAAGAAATCAGACACATTAGAGAAACTTTCTCATCAACAATTACTCTCTCAAACTGATTGATAAGTTCCTTAGGAATCGTAAGAAAAATGTAAATAACACAGGTGTCAATAGTAGTAATAATGATGGGCAGTGGCTAGCAGTGGAATCCAGGATGCACATGCATACATGTATGTTTTCCTTTGTTAAAAAAACACAAGAATGAAAAAAGTGTGTTAAAAATATAGGCTAAATGTTGTATTCTATGTGATCGATAAAGGTTAATCAATCAAGACTGTTGAAGTCATACAATAACTGATATCCACTGAAGCAAAGTGAAACGTAGAAAGGCTCGAGGTCACACAAATAATTCACTTACTTCGGTAGGCAACCAGTATTACAAGTAGTAGTGCATGAAGCACACACTTCAGTGTGCCAACACACGCATATCAGCTATTTTAAGCACAATATGACCTCAACACCAGCTTAATAGGGCTTTAGCAAAATACCTTCACAAACAATAAGTAAATAAAAAATCATACAACCAATCTAACAGTAAGCGTTGAGACATAGTAGAGAGAGAGATTCACTGTCTATCAGTGGCATGATAAGGGAAAGCTCAGCTGGAAACTGGATTCTGGAACTGTCACCACAAACTCGTGAGCGATTCAACCGTTAGTGAAATAAGAAGGTATCAAAATAACAGGTGGTCAACCTATCTGTTTACATTAAAACGTTCCAGCAGAAAAAATTAAGGTGGTTGTCGGTAGTGAGTTATTCAATGGGAAACCGAACAGTATGATTCTTTAGGCTACAGTTCAGCGGTTTTAATAATTCATACTCAACTGGTTGGTTCATGGAATCTACATTACGCCCACCAGATTACACTTTTCAAAAATAGCAAATGCAATAGAATAGACAGAAATTCACACTCCACAATGGTCACTTTTCCGATGAAACATGTGGCAAAAAGATAGAAATTAGGAGAAAATTTCATTTCTGTCGTAACAGAAGGAAAGTCAAAATATGAAAACCATTTAAAAAAGGGACTCATCACATAACAAATCGAACACAGTGAAACATTATGCTGTGTCGCTATAATTAAGGGTTCTATCAACCTTCTCGGCAAATAAAACTCAATTAGCACTAAGGTCTTCAAAATTAAATAGTGTTTAATCTGTTCTCTACTCCACGCTTTCCGTCTTCCATTGTGTAACTGCATTTCTCATTCCACACTTATTTGTACGTTTATTTTATACTACTCATTTATGATAAGTAGCATTACTTTTATTTCGATCATTTCGTTACGGTGTTACGAAGTAGTATCCCATCCTCTTCTTTTCAAACTCTACCCCCTGCTATCCTGTTCTTTTTATGCACTTTCTCAACTGTTGGTTACCCATTTCATATGCATTGTTCTGGACAACGTGTGCGTTTTACCTCAGTAATAACCCTCGGTTAGTCGCATAATTCAGCTACCTACTATTTACGCATTTCCACCGTTGCACTCACTTGATAACAACATAAATATCTGAATACCTCATGATTTCAGGTAACTACTTTCCGTTATCAAGAATCACAGACTACCCTCGTAGTACAGTATTCCGAGTTTTGACTTCAGGATCTTTATGAGTCCATCAGACGTCAAATTTCAATTTCCCCTACGAAATTTATATCACCGTTTCCATCTGGTGAGCTGATGGAATAAATTACAGAAATTCCATGCCATAGTTGTTGGGCACTAGTCTTAGAAAACAAAATAAATTCTGTTCTATCAGGAAGCCAAGAAAGGCTGACAAAACTGGGGAGAAAACTGGAAATTTGATAGTACGCGGTGAATCGTGAAGTAAGTAAATATGCTAGCCGCCTACTCCTCTCTTTGAAAAAGTTGACCCATAAAAAAGTAAGTGAGTGGTCAAAAACAATACAGATCAGCTGCAGAAATTTACACAGTGGAATTGAAATGGACTGATCCAAATTGGAACACTTCAAAGCAGAAAATTAGGAAACATCAATAATAGGAATATGGAAGATTTATTAAAAGAAACTAAAAAATGAACTAGAATGACACATTAGGATATATTCATGGAATACTATGATGTCAGAGGTATAGAGGAGAATCAAGTGAATGGCTTTCTTCCATACCCAACAGGCATTATGCCACTCATGGCACCTGACTAATTAACGAAGAACGAGCATACACAGCAACAGTCCACTATGCTTTGCCACACAGTTGTGAGAAATAGTTTTTCGAAGTAGAAGATAGGTTACAGGTTATTGATCACAATGTTGAGGCAAGGAAGATAAGTCAGTCGATGACGCTGTGAACTGTCACCAACTGAGTTGGCCTGCAGATATGTTGGGCATATCGAGGCATAGCCCAGCTCAACGTGTAATATTAGCGAAGTAGGGTTAGTATGTGAGAAGGTGACCAGACCGAGATGTGGCACCAGTCCATGAAGTCTAACTCTTGGTCCAAGCCATGTAGACAGGTTTAGACTACCCAAGTAAGACCATCTAGATGCTGGGAATCTACGATTGGCGAATCTTTGTGATATGGCTTAAAATCTGTAATGATGATAGAAATTCACGCAGTCTCTGCCACCTTCCATTTCCTCTCATTTACTTCCACCTAATTTTATGGTATGCCAGTATGAAGTGTGGCAACTTGAACTGATACACTACTGCACCAAGTTATGTGTTGATCTATCCGTCTATCAAGTGAATGAATAAGCGAAACCACAATTGTTATATCTGCAACTAAATAAACCACTCAACCAAACAAAATGCAGTGCCTAATACAGTTAATTTCATGGTTTGAAACCATATTTCCATCTATCCCTCTTTCACTAAATTCAAATGATAGTCATGATAATCAATGTCGAGAAAGGTGATTGTTAAGCTGTGAAAGCGTACAAACAGCAAACAGTTAGACAAGCAATAACAAAAGCATCTCATTCAAACTTACGAAATAAAAATTATTGTTTCAATGAACCTTTTCAGGAATAGCAAGCAAACTTTTCGAAATTTTACAAAGCCTTATTATAATGACGTTTATGCGGTACAAAAACAGACAATTAAACATGACTGCCATGGATAAAACACTCACAAGGAGTCTTAAAATTTGGACCTTGAGAATTCGCCTTGCAATTTTGATGAAGACCAAGTTTCCCATACAAGTCAGGTATGAAAATATGGGAAGACAACATGGATGAAGAATTGGGAAATGTATCACCGACTGACATCTTGGGAGGACTAAAATGAATGAATGAAAAAATCAGGAAGCAAAATATTCTTTAAACAAAGCACCAGAACTAGCTTTCTAAATAAATTTTAATATGGCTAGATATATTCACTGATAACAACTCCATACCAACAGCACTTTTCTTTTCCTTAATTATTCTATTGCTGTTTTATCCTCCTTGTTAATTAATCCTATCGTTTTGTTGCAAACAGTAGTAAACTGATCGGTCGCTATACAGCAAGCAAGCTCATGTTGCTCAATCCCAAGATGCTGAGTGAATGCTATCGATCACCATTCCAGAGTAGCCATTAAGACAAATAACTTAACACCACTACGGATTAATGTTTGATGCTTGAGAGTATTCGACAAGAAACACCGAATTCAGATTTCTGTAAATGGAACCCAGAAACTGCTGAACCTAAATGCAGAGCATCTCGCAACTTATTCTTAACATCCCTGATGGAAATACTACATTATCTCTGACGCGGTGTAACTCACGAAGATTGTGGAGACTGCATGACATTGTGTATAAACCACTTCAACTAAAAGCAATATGTCCTTTTCATCGACCTCGCTCACCTAAAGCCACACAAGAGATCTGCTGGTACAACAGAAAGTTTGACCACAAAACCAACCGTTGTACTAGACCCTGCAACTTTGATAAAAGATCATCGTCCGACGAGAGGAACTGGTCAGCCAGGCAGCTGTTACTGGCAACCATCCCAGTCGCCTCTTCTACGTCACGGATAAAACTTCAGGCTCCCGGTTTTTAGTTGACACAGGTGCCGAAGCTAGTGTTATTCGGCTCTTGCTTCCACGGTGACCATCAACAACTCCTAGCAAGTTGTCTCTTCAAGCTGCTAACAAAACTTGCATATCAACTTTCGGTGAGCAGTCACTGATATTAGATTTTGGTCTGCGCCGCCGATTCACATGGATTTTCATCGTTGCTAATGTACATCATCCTATATTAGGGGCCGACTTCTTGAGTGCTTTCAGTCTGCTAGTTGACGTCAACAAGAAGAAGCTGATTGATGCATCCACAAGGCTAAAAGTCAAATGCAGAGTGTCAGATTATTCTGTCCATAGAGTCTGAATTGCAAAACCTGAGGATGACAGATACGCACATCTGCTGCAGAACTTCCCCAGCATAGTAAAACCTAACTGTCACATCGAGGAAGTACGCCATACAACAGTTCATAAGATTGTCACCAAAGGTCAACCCGTCCGTGCACAACCCGACGCCTACCACCTGACAAGTTAGCCGCCGTCAAATCTGAGTTCGAATATATGATGCAGCTGGGCAAAACACGGCTGTCCAACAGCGCTTGGGCTTCATCGCTGCACATGGTGGCAAAGAAGGATCATGACTGGCATCCATGTGGTGACTGTCGTGTTTTGAACAATGCGGCTGTTCCTGATCGCTACCTCACTCCCCACCTACACGATTTCTCCCTTACCTTGCATGGGAAGACCATATTCTCAAAAGTGGACTTAGTTTGTGCATACCATCAAATACCTGTTGCACCGGAAGACCACAAAAATGGCGATAATAACTCCTTTCGGACTGTTAGAGTTTCTCCGGATGCCATTTGGACTCAAAAATGCAGCTCAGTCGTTCCAACGATTCATAGATCAGGTTATGCAAGGTCTCGATTTCGTTTTTGTCCATATCGATTATGTCCTGATAGCAGGTGCTTCCCAGGAAGAACACTTCCAACACCTTGCCATTTTGTTCGAACATTTTCAGCAATACAGGCTAGTTATTAATCCAAATAAGTGCATCTTTGGGATACCTTCGTTAGAGTTTTTGGGATATTACATAGACATCCGAGGCATAAAACCTCTTAACAACAAAACTGATGTACTCTTGCAGTACACCGAATCCGATTCAACAAAGAAACTCCCACATTTCCTTGGTATGTTCAACTTCTACTAACGTTTCTTCCCACACTGCCTCACTTCTCCAGCCTCTGATGGACCTGCTTAAGGGCAGCCAGAAGAATTTCCGTTTCACTGACAAGGCACGCCAAGCTTTCGATAACACCAGAAAAGCATTATCACAGGTAGTCATGCCTTCGCATTTGAATCCCAACCCAGAAGTGCGTTTGATCTTCTGCACAGATGCTTCCCAATCTGCAGCTGGAGCCGTCTTACAACAAAAGCTTGACGATGAGATACTTCCACTTGCCTTCTTTTCCAAGAAGCTAGAGCCGTCTCAAACAAGATACAGTACCTTCAGAAGGGAACTCCTATCCGTCTACCTCGCGGTCAGACACTTTAATCATCTGTTACAACGTCGTGACTTCACTAACCTCACCGACCACAAACCATTATGCTATGCGTTTCGAAAAGCGTTGGATAGGCATTCGCCAAGAGAAGCAGGACAACTGGACTATATCTCGCAGTTTTCTACGGCTATCCAGTTCGTCAAGGGTAATGCTAATGTTGTTATCGATTATTTGTCTCGCATTGATATGAACCTTCTAACATGACAACCAGACATCGAGCTCGAAAATATGGCAACATTACAGAAAAACGACCCTGGTCTGGCAAACCAAACGAATTCAACTCTTATTCTCAAAGACATTCCAATACCCCTCCCTATCCGACGCTGCCATTGTGTATGAAGTATCTACTGGTGTGCACCGTCCTTTTGTTCCATTAACCTGTCGAAAAGCTGTGTTTCAGAACTTACACACTCCCTATCTCATCCAGGTGTGCGCTCTACGGTCCGACTGATTAGTCAACGTTTTGTGTGGCCTAACATGAATGCGGATATCAGAAGATGGACACGGGAATGCTTGCATTGTCAACGTTCAAAAGTCCACCGACATACGATTACTACACCTCAAAAATTCAAACTACCTGACCGACGTTTCCAGCATGTGCATACAGATCTTGTGGGACCTCTTCCAGCATCCAGAGGATTCACCTACATACTAACAGCTGTCGACCGTTTCACCAGATGGACTGTCGCTTGCCCTATAGGCAATACTTCAGCTGAAAACATCACCTCCGTTTTCCTTGACCTATGGGTTTCAAACTTTGGTGTACCTTCTACACTCACTTATGACAGAGGTTCACAATTCCAGTCAACCTTATTCCAAGTGTTCACTCGACTCCTCAGAGTACATCACATACGAACCACAGCTCACTACCCAGCAGCGAATGGCTTAGTGGAGAGATTTCACTGTCAACTAAAAAGCTCGCTGATGGCACTGCATGACAGCACTAAATGAAGTGAATTTCTTCTAATCATCCTACTTGGAATCCGATCCACCGTGAAAAAAGACGCAGGATGTACCCCAGCTCAGCAAGTATACGGAACGAACTTGGTCTTGCCAGGACAGCTCGTAAACCCACAGAATTTATCGGAAACCAACATCTCTACATTTGCTGAAAACCTCGCTCAACGTACGTCGCTTATACAGCCCACACCACCTCGCACTAGCAACCGTCGAGAACAACTGGATAAGCAGCTGATGTCCTGCAAGTTTGTTTTAGTCCGGACCGACGGGGTTAGAAAGGTTTTGCAACCACCATATGAAGGACCTTTCCTAATGATTAGTCGAGCTGAGAAATACTTTACCGTAAACAAACAGGTAAACAAGGGACTGTAGCCCTCGATCGACTGAAGCCAGCTTTTGTAGCTGATGAAGCCGAAGTGAATCAACCACCACTTCAGAGTAAAACTACATCTGCCACCACGCCGCCACCGATCGCGTCCCGCGAGCAGACTTCTTCCATCCTTCGTGCAGCACACGCAGAGGCCGGCAAGTAATCAAACCGAAACGTTATGTACATTTCATTGACTGATATTTGCCCCGTTTCCAATTCGAAATATTTTATTATTTTACATCAAATTTATTCATAAATACACATGCCAACCATTACTATCATTTTTATATGCAGCGCATATTTCTCGCATTTCTCATCTCCTTAAAACCAATATATATCACATTTTACTGTTGTTCATAAATCATTCAGGAAATACGTATGTTTTCGAATAATTATAAGCATTACTTATAAATATTCGTATTAATTTTGCTTCCCCACTAATAGAATTCTGAACAACAGCCCCAAGCATATGTGATTTTGATCTACCTATATATAATTTCTGGATTAACCCTGCGTGCATATTTCTTTCTTCCTACCAGACAGTTTCTCCGGATTTTTAAGGGGGGAGCTGTATGGAGACTGCATAACATTGTGTATAAACCACTTCAACTAAAAGCAATATGTCCTTTTCATCGTTTTTTTACACATTCTGTACATTCTTCTTAATACTCGTAAAAACGAATGTTGTTTATATATGCACACACCTTTTTGGTTGTGGCGGTAATTACACCTTTTGCTGCTGCTAATCGTGGAAATATAATGTGCTTCTAACCATTCCGGCTTCTGACTCAGCGACTATTGCCTGTCGTGCATAATAACTGATTGTCTTGGGAATTTACAGGACTTCTCATTCTACTTGCAAATATTACGACAATCAAGCCGACCAACGACCACTGAGGAGAGCCAACAAATATTGCCTTCTGATCTCTGGAGTATCCGAAAATTGTGGTGGACAATACCGAAGAGATAACCTCTGAGTAACCAGTGGTTATCTATAACATTGACAATACTGTTTGTGCTATAACGTATAACTTTTCATACATTTGTATCATAAAATCCACTTTTCTTGTAAATTACACGTAGTTTGTCATTTTGGTTTACTTGACATTCTTTGGGTCCACTACAAGTTGTAGACCTACGTCGTTAGAAAGTGCCAACGTAAAACAAACCTAGCTATGGGACATCCTACCAAATCCGTTTAACCACATAACATCGTAACGAAGTATGATACCTTAAAACAACATACTAGTGGGATGGATACCCTGCTCTTTCAGCACGTCAGACAAACTGGAACTATTCAAGCTCATTTACTCTCGATTATAGCAGTCCATACAACTGCACTATATTCCCACATCTTCATATGCAAATACCTATGCATTTTCACAACACTGTGAAACTGTTGACAAAAAAGGATATTTACTTTGAGATTTATGAAGATTTTATTTATCTCAAGGAAGTATTCATCACGGACTGAAATCACCTAGAGAATCACTGAGAGCCTGAGAGCAGTGGACAGCCGATGCCGAAGGATGACCTTGGGTGATAGTCACGCTATAGAACGAATCGACAGAAGTAGGAAGCTGTGAACCATTGAACTCCGACCCAGTGGTTGAACGGATAATGCGCTCGCCACGAGAACTGAAGATCCTGAGTTCAATCCATGGTCGGATCGTAGGTGGGTACTGCTGAAAATTCTCATACCAGGACGAAATAGCTGACCAGTGTTTCCACGTTTTCAGTGGTACTCAACTAGTGTCAGTTGGCGATGAATACTACCTTGGAAAAAAAATTTTACAAAAAATTAACTAGTGTCGTTGAAGGGAATACACTATCAAAAATGAAAATCAAAACATACTGGATAGGATGTTCATCACAAGTAGCTCTATCCAAGCATTTTTCAACATGACCAGATGTGATAATTGTTGAATCACATACACCCATTACAGTAGCTAATTGCGCTTCACGTTGTTTAGCTTCCTCGGTTATTCGAAGCTTTGTAGCCTCGTCCGAAGCACGTTGTGCAACTGTCAATTCATCTCGAGTTGGTTGAGCCGGCCTCGCAACCAAAGTGTATCCATGAAAATCCAAACCATCCAACCTGTGTTCCACAATGATAACAGTCACAAGTTTATTACTTTAGACACGAAAGCATATAGAAACTGGAAAACAGTAAATAATATGTGCTCAACTCGAGACCCACAATGACTGGGTATTTCTTTATATTATCTCATGCTTTACAGAAATGCATCGACAGTTAGGTTGACAAAAAAGAATTTAGTGGAGTGAAAATAATAGGACCAACAGTAGCCAGAAATGCATTTAAAATAAAGAAGTTACACCAATGTGGTTAATGTTATAAACACAAGTGGTTTCAATCAAATTCAATAATCAGCAAAGCTGGTTGTGCACATATCACAAATTTCACTGGACCAATTTATTCGGAATATGACTTGAAATTTACGAGAATATTTGTTCTGCTAACATTTGATACACACCTTTATCATGCAATAGAAACGCGTCATTTTGGCCTAGAGAAATAAGGAATGAAGACATAGTGAACCTGAATAATAATTATTCCCTATTTGTGTTGAAGCTGGCAAATGAATGGATGATACCCTTTCACTGAAGTAATATAATAATCATGCAATTCGAAACTCAACTTTGCCCAGTTTACCAGTTCACTAGTTTACTAGCCGGTCCTGAACCCAGATAAAGAGGGAAGGTTGGGTAGCATACGCCTAACACAATCCTAGCCCAGAAAACAAATTCAATAGCTAAAGAAACTTATAAACACAGTGTAAATATAAGAATAAAAATAAACTTATTCCTCGCTGGAACCGGAGAGACGAAATGACGCCGGTTGTTAAAAGCCTCCAGGAAGCCAATTGGCCGATGTGTCTCCTACTCTCTCGACGAAAGCGAAAGTAAGCATGAGGAAATGGAATGTCTGCACCATGTATGAACTTAGCAAGGCTTCCCAGATCGCAAAACAGATGAGGAGGTATGGTATGGAAGTGCTTGGAGTCTGTAGATGGAATGCAAGTAGACTCTCTGAACTGTCAACTGCAGAGTCAATAGTCTACTCCGATATTGTCACTCACATGACAACCACAAGCACACTGAGTTTTCGAGTGGCTATCATGATATCCCCCTCCCAAGAGCATCGAAGGCTCTCTCTCTCATGCACTGGGAAACAATCTCCTCATGCATCCCGATCATCACAGCAAGATTCAAATCAAAAGGAAGCAAAGTCACAATCGTACAATGCTACGCTGTGCACCTACAAATAATGCAGATCAAGAGAAGAAGAACGAATTCTACAGACAACTGCAATCAGTACTCGACAAGACCTCAGTTGGCGACATCAAAATGCATTCTAGTGCTTGGGGTGACATGAATGCAAAACTCGGAGCAGACAACACAGGAAGAGAACTCGTCATAGATGGAGAAGCGATCGGTGAAATGATGAATGAGAATGGAGAACTGTTTGCAGACTTCTGCGCATTCAACAATATGGTGACCGGAGGCAGTGTATACAACCACAAGGATATTCACAAGACAGTGACATGGATTTGATTTCACCAGACACCTGGACACACTGAAAATCAGATCGACTTCTCCAATCCAAGAAATGGAGACGCAGCCTACTGGAACAAGATCAAGAAGAGGAGCAGAGGTAGGTGGTTCACACCACTCACTATCTAGTGTAAGGAAAACCTACCTTCAAAATCAAGTTGGAAGCCTTCAAAGAAGCTGGTGATGATAGACCACAGTTCAAGTTGAACACCCACAACAGAAACTGAAGGATGAAACTCAAAACGACATCTTCACTTCAGTCATCAGGGAAAAATGCAATCTCGATGGACACATGGAAGCTGATAGAAGAGATGAAGATTGCGAAGCAGAAGATGAACCAGTGCACTGGAGTGCAGGGATGAACAACGAAGAGAGGAACTGAATACAACCTATAAAACACTGCACTGGACAAAGAACTGAAGAAAAGTGCACGCGAAGACAAAACACACTTCCACGACACATTGGCAAGTGAAGCAGGATGGGTTGCTCGTAGGAGAGACCTGACAACAGTGTATCAAACAACCAGATTACGATCTGGGAAGAGATCAACACAGATGAAACCAATGAAAGATAGTGAAGAAACCCAGTTACCAAAGAGTAGAAACAAAGGAGATGATGGGCTGACCACTTCAAAAAACTCTTGAATCGACCAACACCACCACCAGCACCTCGTCCACAAATACCATCAGCAGCCCAGCCACAGAACTATCAGTGAACAAAGGCCCCCGACAAAAGCAGAAGTCCTGAATGCCATTAAACCACTGAAATCCGGGAAAGCAGCAGGACCAGGTGGAATCTCTCAAAAAGCACTGAAAACAGACGCAGATACATCAGCAGCGAACATTCTCACATCACCATTGCAGAAGGTTTGCAAGGGAAGAAGGAAAGGTACCTACTGATTAAAAGAATGGCTACCTTGTCAAACTCCCAAAGAAGGGAGACCTCAATGTTTGCAAGAACAGGCGAGGAATCATGCTGCTGTGTACCGCAAGCAAAATATTAATCCGCATCATCCTTGAGAGACTATTAGATGCTCTGGATCCAAAATTACGACCGGAACAGACTCGTTGGATTCATGAAGAAAAATTCAATTCAGTGCTTCTATATAGCTCATTCAGAAAGTTAACGCATTACAAAAAGCATTTCCAACAAACAACTGCAGACATACATCAACAGCTTCCCCATACGCTCACTCGATACTGAAGATGGAAATCAGATGGCCAGAATAATAATCAGCTACAAGGAAATCCGGCTGGCTGGCAAAAACAAACCAAGAATCCATCAGCCAACAAATATGCAGAAGAAGGTGGAAATAGATTGGGCATGCACTGACAAGACCAATTTGGGACATAACGCGCCACGCCAGGCCATCGAGTGGAATCCAAAGGGGAAATGACGAGTTGGGCGTCCAAGGAGAGGGTGACGTGGAGGAGACCATGTGAAGAAGAAATGAAAGCTTGTGGGGAGTCATGAGACCAGGTTCAAAAGAATGTAGAGAAAAGTGTGCAGTGGAGGCTTGCTACTGATGCCCTATGTTCCACTAGGAATCCAAGGAAAAAATAACAATAGTAGAGGTACTCAAACATGTTGAATCAACCAATCTTTTGGCACCACAACAACACGGTTTTCGTACTGGACACTCCTGTCTAGCTAACATTCTTATCGCATGAGAGGAATGGGTTGCAGCCCGTGATTGCAAGCTGCCAATAGATGCCGCGTTTATAGATTTCAGTAAGGCATCAGACAAAGTGTTGCATATGGAATTACTAGGAAAGCCTACCCTTTCAGGTTTGCTTTATTGCAAGCCTGGATTAGGGACCTCTGTACGATAGAAGGCAAGGAGTGAGGGTAAATAGGATACTGTCCGGGTGCAAACCTGTGATGAGTGGAGTTCCTCAAGGAACAATCCTAGGTCCACTATTTTTCGTGTTATATACCAACGAATTGCCAAAAATGCTCAACTCCTTGGTACTGCTATTCGCCGATGATGTGAAGATTTGGAGAGCTATACGCAGTGATGCAGATAGGTATGCACTTCATGCGGATTTAGATGAACTGGTAGGTTGGTCCGATTGTTGGTGCCTGGAAATCAACTCTAAAAAAGTGCAATAATGCACACTGGTCACAACAATTGTTTCCAGTATTCCGTTGATGGTACACCACTACTCTTAGTCTTTGAACTAAAAGACTCGGGCGTCATCCTTAGTCATAATTTGAAAACCTCGGCAAACTGTGATGCAACTGCAGCAAAGGGCTTCCGCTTATTATGGTTCTTCTGCAGAGTTTTCAAATGTTTCGATCAGGAACTATTCAGAATGCTCTATTCTACTCACGTTAGACCTCACTTGGAATACTGCATTCAGGTGGCCAGCCCATGGCTATAAAAGGATGCTGATGCACTTGCGCTTGCTCAAAAGGTAGGTACTAAGCTTGTGGCAGGCCTTCCAAACATGTACTATCAGGAATGACTGGATCAGCTGAACCTAGTCCCACTGCCTAACCGTAGGCAACGGGGTGATCTCATACTGGCATTCTGTATTATTAGTAATGACTTCGGTACTGAAATGTCCTATCTTTTCTCCCCAGCTAAGACCGACTATCTCCGAGGGCATCACAAGAAAATTCTAAAACCGCGATCGCATCAACTTAGCGTGAATCTGCGCTTCTCCCATCGTGTCGTCAACTACAGGAATCACTTGCCTTAACAAGTAGTATCAGCAATTCCTGTCTAGGGATTCAAGGAGGAACAAGATCTTCACAGAGATACCTTCTGCAAGAGTGAACAAAGGACAACTGGCCCACTATCCTTAAGTTGAAAAGTGAAAACCACACATAATGCAAACTTGTCCAAAATTCTTGGAAATACAAGATGTAACAATATCACGTAAATACTGAAACTGATTTTGTTTGTATACATTGGACAGCAAAAGAGTTAACTACCACACTGTAGAGTATTTAAAATCCTACTCGTTAACCTCCGAGTTTCGACCTCTAGACTGCCTCACCTCTTCGTTGTCCAGCTCTACCGTTTGTCAGTTATCTTTTATTATTAAATGTAACTACATCTTATGTACTTGCTGAGTCGTCGGCTCACCTTTCTCCTTTTCCCTTTTTCTTTTCCAGATTCTCGTGGCCACCAAACTCATACTGCTCTGCGCGCTCCCTGCAACAATTTACCTATCTACAGGCTAGGGGAAAACTTATCAACAACTGGTTGTTAAAACACTTTAAGGAACCCTGTGTCATATGACTTTGGTTTACCTGTCATTGTCGTGTATTTGATTTCCACCTGTTGCTTCGGATAGAGTCCGTAACATTCTGGTCAAGCACGCGACATCTGCTCGTGCAATCCGATTCATGTTGAAACGCGTTTGAAACTAATACCTTTGCGCACACTCAAACCACAAAAGTGGTCACTGACGTCTGAGGATCTGTATCTCATAATTTTCGCGGGTTATATTATCGAGTGTGGTACACATTTTGGACTCATTTCAAAAACTGTCATTCCAATCAAACTCGCTGTTCCGATTTTTAGTGAGTAATCCACTTGCATTTATATCTTGTTAGGATACATAT